GCTGACCACCTCGGCGGGGATCGGGCCCAACTTTCTGCTCGCGAAGATCGCGGCGGACGTGCGCAAGCCGGACGGCCAGTTTTGCACGGGCTGGTCACGCGAAGCAGTGCTCTCCTTCTTGGCGCCGCTTCCGGTGCGCAAGGTGCCCGGGGTCGGCAGGGTGATGGAGAAGGCTCGGGCCAGGAAGGACGGAGCCGCCTCGGCTGTGTGTCTCTGCTGCATCTCTGCTGGACACTGGTGCGTAGGTGCTCTCAAAGGCACTGGGCGTTTCCTCGTGCGGCGAGCTGCTCCAGCCGAGATGCAGCCGAGATACTGCCGAGATACCGCCGAGATGTCACCTCGTGCGGCGAGCTGCTCTCGATGGCGGCGCCGTCCGCGACACGTCCGCGACACGTCCGCGACACGTCCGCCAGGCGAGCTGCTCTCGCGGGCGGCGGAGGCGAGGCTGCTCTTCACGCCGGGCAGCGCCGACTCGCTGCTGCGCAAGTCGCTAGGGTGGGAGGAGGGCGGGCGCGAGGAGGCGGCTGGCGAGGCGCTCCAGAAGGGCATCTCGTGCGAGCGGACCTTCCGGCCGACCGGCGACGAGGCGGAGCTGGGCGAGACGCTGCGCCGCCTCTGCGCCAGCCTGGCCGAGGAGATGGCGGCGCGGCAGCTGCGCGGCCGAACGGTGTGCCGCTCGAGCTGGAGGCGTCCCGAGGTCACGTCCGTGACGCGTCCACGACACGTCTGCGCCAGTGTCTCCGCAGGTGACTCTCAAGATGAAGACGTCCGATTTCGACCTCTTGACGCGCGACTCGAGCGCGGCGAGGCCCGTCGGCGCGGCGGAGGAGCTGCAGGCGCGCGCAGTCATGCCTCTCACAGTTGCTGACTAGACTATCGACTGATAGAGGAGGAGCTGCAGGCGCACGTGGTGCCGCTGCTGGCGCGGGAGCAGCGGCGGGCGGCCAGCGCGGGCGGCGGCCGGCTTCGGCTGCGGCTGATGGGCGTGCGCGTGTCAAAGCTGGAGAAGGAGGGAGCGGCGGGGGGGGGGGACGCGGCGCAGCGCCGCATCTCCTCCTTCTTCGCGCAGCCCGCCGCTGCCGCTTCCACGGCACGGGCGGCGGGGCTGGGGCAGGCGGCGGAGGCGGAGGCGGTCGAGATGGAGGCGGCCCTGGCGGAGGCGGAGGCAGCTGAGGCGGAGGAGGCGGAGGAGGCGGCGGCGGCGGGTGCGTCGGCGGCGGAGGCTGCGGCGGCTGAGGGTGCGGTGGCGGCGGAGGGTGCGGCAGGCGCCATCGCATGGGGGCGGGAGGACTCGGGGGGGCTCCTCTCCGCCGCCCCCTCGCCACGGGCCGTAGCCTCGCCGCCGGCCGCGCCGCCGGCCGCGAGGTCGCCGCCGCGGCCCTCCTCCCGCTACTTGCGCCTGAGCGAGGCCGAGCTCGACCAGGGCGTCCTTGCCGAGCTGCCGGAGGCGCTCCGGAGGGAGGTGCAGTCCGAGGTTGCGCACGCCGATTTGGCTCAGAGACGCCGCGCGGAGGAGCGTGGCGGGCAGCGAGAGCGGCGCCGGCCCGCTTGCGCTCCCGCGGCGGCGAAGCAGCCGAAGAGGCAGCGCTTGCTCTCCTCGTTCGTCAAGCCCGAGGGAGCCGAGCGAAGTCAGTCGAGCCGAGAGGGTGAACCGGACGCGCCGGTGGTCGCCCTCCTCGAGATGGGCTTCGCCGAGGGCGACGTGCGCGCGGCGCTTCGGATGGCGGGCAATGACCGGGAGAGGGCAGTGGAGGCGCTGTTGGCGGGTGGTACTGGTAGATGACCTTTCCAATATCGATGTACGATGATACAGTCAGATATGGTTGAAAAGGCTCAGAGAGCCGTTATCAGTATCACTGCATTGCCATTGGGGCAGCTGCAGCTTCGCCGTGCCAGTCCCGTTCTTCAGGGAGCGTTCTAAAATTCTTTTCTCTGTATGTTCCTTTTCACACAACACTGGGCACGGGACTGTATCGTAGAATTCTTTTTCGCACAACACCGGGCATAAAATTCTTTTTCATCTCACATCATCAAAGCGCCCGCCGACCAAGTAACCGGGAGTTTGGCCTCGGCGTGATCTGCTCGCCTGCTCCGCTTCTGTCAGCTGGCAGAGCCGTGCCATAGGCTGGCGGCACTGACCCATGCCCCACAATCGCTGCGCTGAACGCACCGGCCTCAGCGTGGTTGTGCCGAGCGCCAGTCGCGGCCCGACGCTGCACGTTCTCCTCATCGCGCTCCTACAGCAAGAGGCGCTGCGAGTGCCTGGCTCGGAGATCATCGTGTCACACGCCACCTTTGATAGTTTGAACGAGGCCCCAAACATGTCTCCCCGAGTTCTGGCGGCATGCGCCTCGTGTGACGTGCGCCGGATTGTTCATGTGGACTCGGTGCGCATCAACGACGCGCTCGGCTGCGCGCACCGGTACGTGGTAGCGAGCAAGCACGCTCGGAACAACGTGCTCCTGCACCTCGACGACGACCTGTTGCCGAAAGCTGCGCTCCTGCAAGCTCTTGTGCAGAGTGTGTGCGCCGAGCCTGGCTTCCCCGAGTATGCGCGCACGTCGCGACCAAACCCTTTCCGCTCCGCGCCACTGCGCCCAAGCTTTTACGGCACCACTCCACGGCTGTGCAGCAAAGATGGTTACCGCTTCTACTCAAGGAGATACACCCTGAGCCAGCGCGGCAAGTGGGTGCTCCAGAAGCCATACTACGTGCTGACCAACGTTGCCAGCATGTCGCGCGCACTGAATGCTGAGTTTGTCGCGGTGCTCAATCAGAGCTACGCCTCGCTCATGCGCGTGACGGGCGGGGAAGGCTGCGACTTAGTCTTCAATCATTTCGCAAGGGGCGCAGGCAGCACTCCCACGGCGCTCAGAGGTCACCTGCACACTCGGAGCGTGGAAAATATTCGGCGACCAAAGCACCTGCAGGCTGCTGCAGAGGCGCGAGCGCTGGCTGTCAATCCCGTTGACAGTGGAATCCAGAGCAAAGCGACCGCCGCAACGGCGACGAGCAAGTTCTACGGCGGGTACGAGGGTGGGAAGGACCACTACCCTCGGCGGTGGCAGATTTGCACTTGCCTCGGAAGGGGCACCGTCGGCGAGACGCTCGTCGGCTGTGCAACGGACAAGGCAGGGCTCAAGTGGGCCCGCGGCAATTGGAGCGCATTCGCCGCCAGCGCCGATCTCAGCATCGTGCAAACTCACACAGCGCAACACAGGCGGAATACGCGGCTCGTGAGCGCAGTGGGCAGAGCAGGCTACGGCAGCCGGGCTGAGCCGGGCTCCCGAGGTCTCCACGCCCTCTGAGTCTGAGCTCTGACATCTCTCGCATGTTGGCATATCTACTACTACACCGTGCATGCTACACAGCTTCCAGTGCCAGAGTTCTACTACTCAGCTTCCCACTCTCGGGTCCTGTATTCTATGGATGGATTTGTCCCGCCAGATTTTTACTTGCGGAGTGGCACACAAAAACTATACCTCCGTGCAGGAGCGCGTTGGGGGCGGGCCTGCTCCTTTTTGCCCATCGCCTAATAGAGGTGTCCGTTTTATTTATTCAGGAGCGCATTGAGAACACCTTTCATCTTCGGACTTCGCCTTTTGATACATGATAGACGCAACGCGTCCAGCATATTACAGCCACATCTCCCGCATGAAGAGGTGGCTGGCGCCCTGAGGCGGCACATTTGGTGGCGTGGGGAGTGCGGAGAACGCTACTGGCGGCGCGACAGGGCCTCTCTCGGTTGCGTGTGCCGCCCATCGGCACGCGGGTGCGCAGACATCGCGACTCTGCCCGCTCGCTCTTGAGACCCTTTTGCCGCGAGAGGGCGCCGGCCGCGTGTAAGAGGTGGCTGGCGCCCTGAGGCGGCATTTGGTGGGGTCAGCGTGCGGGGCTGAGTCTTACTCGTTGGTGCTGGGGCCAGATCCCAGCGCAGAACTCTGCAACGCTGGCATACAAACACAAGAAGACTAACCCTAACCATAACCCTAACCCTAACCCTAACCCTAGGTCAGCGTGCGGGGCTGAGTCTTATAGTCGTCGGCGCTGTGGGGCCAGATCCCAGCGCAGAACCCTGCAACGCTGGCATATACAGACACAACAAGACTAACCCTGGCCCTAACCCTAACCCTAACCCTAACCCTAACCCTCTAGCCCTAATAACCCTAACCTAACCCACCCCCCAACTCCACACCGCAAATTTGAAAGATCTTGATGAAAATCAGGCCCGACTGCAAATTTCTTCAAAATTTTCGCAGGCGCTCCGCGCCTGCAGATTTTGAAATAAATTCGACAAAATTGGTACCTGGCCCAATACCCGCATCCGCATGCCCGGGCAACGACGTCGAAGCTGGGATGGGTTGGTTTCCTGAAAGCCCTCTCTACCTGTGCTCTACCACAGGGCAGCAGCATGCTCAAGCCCCAGCTGGAGCGGCCGCACACTGCTCGGTAACCCCCTGCACATCTAAAGCCATCCACCATGCATCGTGCAAACCACCATGTTACTTTAGCCGTGACGGCCAATCGTGGCCGGCGGCGGCCGGTACGGCACACACCGCACAAACGCCAGGAGCATGTGTGGAGGGGGAGAGAGGAGCGAGAGGAGGCAAGAGCTGTTCGCCGCCAGCGCGGGCGGCACTCCCACGGTGGTGGGCGGGCGGCGAGGGTGGTGGAGGCAAAGAAAGAAAACAGACAACGAGGGATAGGGGAGGAGGACAGGGTCCCCACCTGCACGAGCAGGATTTTGGAAGGACGACCAGGGGCACAGGCAAATAATAAGGTTGAGAATGGTAAAATTCTTTTTCGCACAACACTGGGCACGGGACTGGCGCGCACCGGCACTAACATTCTTTTTGCGAGCCAGTCCCGTGCCCAGTGTTGACTGTTGTGCGCGGGAGCTTGCTCGGAAAATTCTTTTTCGCTTGCACGGCGTCCACACGCCGGCGCCGCTGGCGCCGCTTGTGCTCGTCGTCTCTTCTTAAAGCCGCTGCCGTGCGCCGATGACTTTACCGGCCTTCCTACGGAACGTCGTCTCCGTCAACCACAAAGTGAAGTGGGAGCCGCCGGGAGGTAAACAAGGCGGCTGTGCGATAAAGGGCGCCAAGCTGCACGCTTTTGATGAGCTCTGGAACATCGAGGTGTCTGCCCCACCGGCTCGCCGACGCGCACTCAATTCGTCGCTCTCACCAGCGCGGCACCGCACAGGAACGGCATTGCCGTGCGCGCTGCGGATGGCAGTCGGCCTGCACCGGGCGCCGCTGTGAGACAAATCTGTCGGATGCCTGTGCCGCCTCTCTGCAGTCACCGTCCGACACGTGTTGTCAGGTACGAGTTTGTGCAGGTGTCCGAGTCCCGCAGGTCGAGTCGGGCGGGCACGGTGACGCGCTGCAAGCTGCACACGCAGCCGATCGCTCACTCCCTCCCGCTGCCGGGATCCTTTTTCGCCGTCTGCTTTGTCAAACGGCAAGCTTCTCTCTCGACGCCGCCGACAGGCCGAGTCAGCGCGGGCCGCCTATGGCAGACTCCCTCTCCCCTCCCTCCTCCTCCGCCGCCACCGCCCGCGCCGCCGCCCACGCCACCACGGCCGCCGCCGCCGCCGCCGCCGCCACAGCCACTTCAGCCGCCTCCCGCGCCGCCGCCGCCACCCTCGCCGCCGCCGCCGCCCTCGCCGCCGCCACCCCCGCCGCCGCCACCACCCCCTCCCTTGCCTCCTCCGCCTCTGCCGCCGCCCGCTCCGCCGCCCGCACCTCCCCCCCCTCCCGCCCTGCCGCCCTCTCTTCCTCCCTGGATTGGCTCGCGCCTCGCTCCTCGCTGCATCGGCCACTGCCGCGAGACGACGCCGGGACTGAGTCCTTAGCCACAGTGACCAATGATTGAGCATTCATAGGCATGCCGCCGTACGACGCCGAGACCCGAGTCTCTGCACTCGAGGCCGCTGCCAAGGCCGCTGCTCCCGCCCCGACCACGCCGCCGGCAGCTGCAGGCCGTCGGCAGCTGCAGGCCCCGACGTCTGCTCAAGGGGCGGGGCGTGCGGCGCCGGTGGGTGCGGGGCGGGTGGGTGCGGCGCCAGTGGGTGCGGGGCGGGTGGCAGCCGACCCCGCCCTCGCTTGGCTCCCCATCCCAGCTGTGCGTGCGCCGCCACTCGGCATGCCGCTGGGCACGCTGGGCTTGTCGGTGCCGCTGGGCTTGTCGGGTGGCGGGGGAGCGACGTGGAGCAGGCAGGCAGCGCTGCCGGCGACCGGACCAGTTGGCATGCCGACCGGCTCGGCTGCGCCGGCGCCGGTGCCGGTCGAGGAGCAGACGCGCTGCTACCGCCTCGTCGGGCCACACGCGCAGTTTGCTGCCGGCGGATGCGCAGCGCTGTCTGGCCTCGACTTGCGGGGCGCTTTTCCGCATCCACAGCCCGCGCGCACCCCTCTCTCCGCCTTCCCTCCGCACCTCCCCCCCTTCCCTCTTCCCCCGCCTATCTCCCTCCTCCCCCGCCTCTCATCCTCCCCCGTCTATCTCCCTCCTCCCCCGCCTCTCATCCTCCCCCGCCTATCTCCCTCCTCCCCCGCCTCTCATCCTCCCCCGCCTATCTCCCTCCTCCCCCGCCTCTCATCCTCCCCCGCCTATCTCCCTCCTCCCCCGCCTCTCATCCTCCCCCGCCTATCTCCCTCCTCCCCCGCCTCTCATCCTCCCCCGCCTATCTCCCTCCTCCCCCGCCTCTCATCCTCCCCCGCCTATCTCCCTCCTCCCCCGCCTCTCCCCCACAACGCGAACGCCAGCGCCCGCCGCGGTGGCCCTCGCCAGGCGCCAACCTGACGGGCGCCAACCTCGACGGCATCGACCTGTCAGGCCGCGCGCACACACGCGCACGCACACTCACACCACACACACACGCACGCACGCACGCACACCCCACACACACGCACCCCCCCCCCGCCCCCCAACACACACACACCACGCACCCACAGCTCCTCGGCAGCGCCAAACTGCAGCTTGACGTGTCCTTCTCTGCTCTCCCGGCACCGCGCCTCCCCTCCTCGTCTCCCCGCCTCTCCCCCCACACCTCTCCCCCCACACCTCTCTCCCCACACCTCAACCCACCCACCCACCCACCCCCACCCCTCAGAAGCCGTGCTCGACTGCGCGACGCTCGACGGAGCAACACTCCACCGCGCAGTCGCCCACAAGGCCTCATTCGTCGGCGCGAGCCTCACGCGCGTCGCGGCGACCGGCGCCCTCTTCGAGCGAGCAGACTTCACCCATGCCTCGCTCGCCGCCGCACAGCTGGGCGGCGGCGGCGTCGTCGGCTCGCTCACGGACTCGCTCTTCCGCGAGGCGAGCCTCAAGGGCGCCACCCTGAGCAGCATCCAAGACTCGTCAGGCTCGACACTTCCTAGACACTTCCTAGACACTTCCTAGACACCCTGAGCAGCATCCAAGACTCGTCAGGCTCGACACTTCCTAGACACCTCCTAGACACTTCCTAGACACCCTGAGCAGCATCCAAGACTCGTCAGGCCCTCACCCCTCCCGCCCCTCTCCCCGCCCCTCCCCCCGCCCCTCTCCCCGCCCCTCCCCCCGCCCCTCTCCCCGCCCCTCTCCCCGCCCCTCTCCCCGCCCCTCTCCCCGCCCCTCTCCACGCCCCTCTCCACGCCCCCCGGCCCGCGAGGACTGGCTCTAGGACCTGCCGCAGGGGTACTCTTCGACGGCGCGGACCTGACCGGCGCCTCCTTCGAGAGGTGCGTGCTGCCGCGCCTCTCGCTGCGCGCCTCCGTCCTCGCAAACGCAACCTTCTCCCACTCGGAGCTCGAGGGCGCGCACCT